ATTGGCAGGTGTACAGACCCAGGAACTCAGCACAGGGACAGTAGAAGCCCCTTAATCATTAGTACCCAGATTGATTATCACATGGATCAGGTTATTCAATTGTCAGAAGTTGTTATCAGAGCTTGCACTCTATAAACAAACAATCCGGTCAGGTTTGGTTGGTGGGACTTCAAAGAAGGTGAAAAGTTAAAAGGCTTCCTATTCTGGGAAGCTCTGATAATAAGTGACCTACACCAGACCTAGAGGCCAGACCTCCAGTAAACTCCTGTTTAAATGTAAATATACTATAGATTCCTGATGAGACACAATAAGATCTTCACTGACAGGAGAGATTTAGGGTCCCCAAACTAGTAAAAGTCAGTTCATTCAGTTCACCAATTCATTGGTGAGTCACTAAGCCCCTTAGATAAGATAACCATTGAAACAAACAAAGTTTCCCCATCCCAGGATCTCAGACTTTCTCTGCTGGAGTTTTACGATCTCAGCCGCCCATTGTATTCGGCAGAAGTGTGATGTCAAGAACATATAAAGCCATTTATAACTCTGCCCCAAATTACATCACCAATCTTGTCTCTAAATATCACCCAAACCGTACTCTCCGCTCCTCGCAAGACCTCCTACTCTCTAGCTCCCTTGTCTCCTCCTCCCATGCTCGTCTCCAGGACTTCTCCAAAGCTTCCCCCATCCTCTGGAACTCTCTACCCCAATTTATCAGACTATCGCCTTCTCTGCTTACTTTTAGGCGATCTCTGAAAACCTCTCTCTTCAGGGAAGCCTATCCTGCCCTCAGCTAATAATGGAATCTTCTACTCTTCCAACCAGTCCATCCCCCACAGTTATTACATTTTGTACCACTAGCCCCTCCCTCTTAGATTGTAAACTCCCAGGATCAGGGCCCTCCTATCCCTCTTGTATTGAACTGTATTGTTGCTGTATTGTCTCCTGTTATATTGTAAAGCGCTGAGCAAACTGTTGGCGCCATATAAATCCTGTATAATAATAATATATAAATCCTGTATAATAATAATAATAATAAATCCTGTATAATAATAATATATAAATCCTGTATAATAATATATATATATAAATCCTGTCTAATAATATATATATAAATCCTGTATAATAATAATAATATATAAATCCTGTATAATAATAATAATATATATAAATCCTGTATAATAATAATAATAATATATAAATCCTGTATAATAATAATATATAAATCCTGTATAATAATAATAATAATATATAAATCCTGTATAATAATATATATACCGTATTTGCCGGCGTATAAACGACTTTTTCCCTTGAAAATCAAAAGTCGGGGGTCGTCTTATATACACATGTTATATTAATACAGGGGTTTGCAGGGGCTGATGTCTCTTATGGAATCCCACGACGATCCGGTCCAGGAATAGTTACTGGATGTTCTGCGGCTGCTCGGCTCCGCCTCCTCACCGGTGATTGGCCGCCATAACTGTAGCTCAGGAAAGGCACACAAATCACCGGCGAGGGGGCGTATAATAATATATGTGCTGTGTAGATACCACATATGCTGGCTGCAGCTGCACCATACGAGAACAGGGTAAAGTCTCATAATATATATTGGTGTCACTGATACCAATGATGGGGCACTATTCCTCCCACTGATACCAACGATGGGGCACTATTCCTCCCACTGACACCAACGAATATTCCTCCCACTACCAACGAATCACTATTCCTGTATAACCAACGATGGGGCACTATTATATGACACCAATGATGGGGCATCCACCCCTCACTGACACCAATGATGGGGCACTATTCCTCCCACTGACACCAATATGGGGCACTATTCCTGCCACTGATACCAATATAAATCCTGCCACTGATATAATGATGGGGCACCTATTATGATACCAAAATCCTATTCCTCCCCACTGATAATAATATATATATAAATCCTGCCACTGATACCAATATAATAATAATATATAAATCCTGTATAATAATAATATTCCTGACATAATGCCAATGATGGGGCACTAGTCCTCCCACTGACACCAAATAATTCCTCCCACTGACATCAATGATGGGGCACTATTCCTCCCACTGGTGTGTGAATTGGAAAGGGGTAGTCTTATACGGCGTAGTATAGCCCAAACACTACATTTTAGCAGGAAAAGTAGGGGGGTCGTCTTATACGCCCAGTCGTCTTATACGCCGGGCAAATACGGTATATAAATCCTATCCTGTATAATAATAATAATAATAAAAGAACATGGCCACTGTGAAGGCAAATATTATCACCAAAAGTAAAGGAAAATCCCAAATTTTGGGTTGTCACCTGAACAGGAATAGAGGGGAAATCTTCCAATGGGGGGCTGCTACAGAAATTACGGGTCCCCATACAACCAAAGGAGCTGTGTGCAAAGAAACAAACAGAGTGCACGGGCCTAGTGCATCACCTTCTAAAAATGAGATTTATTGAATAAAAGTAGTATACTGACAAAAGGATAAAATCAAAGGCACATCACAAAAAATACAGCATGGTCCAATCTCCCTAGATGGTGGCTGTTGGTGGACTGTAGGCCTCCAAATTTCTGACGTGTTTCAAGGCAGAGCCTCTTCGTCAGAGCTAGAGTTCAACGTTCCGGCCATTGAAATGAGTTAACATCTAAGCACTTGATGCTTGTAAACACGTTAGATGCTTTGACAAGTGTCAGGCGTTTTTTTTTTTCTGCCAAAAGGCTGCTGCCAAGAGGAGCATTTTTAAAACGTCCTGTGTGCACAAGGCCTAAAAAGCAGACTAGTGATTCTGCCTAGGCTGAGGTTAGTCTGCTGCAGGTAGGAGGAAGCCTTCTCTCAGTCTCCTCTCCCCCAATGTTCAGACTGCAATATAGTAACATTGTAACAAGTCAGATGGTGAGAGGTTATAGCAAGGGGCTGATCTGTGTCAGACATTGGTGAACATACACAAGCTGGAATTCCGATATGAAGATCTGCAATACAAACAACGCTTTATTTTACATTAATTGTCACTACTGTTCTTAACAAACACGGAGAAAAGTCAATTTATATTACAGCCTGAAAGTGTACAATTCCGGGAATAAGAGAAAGTTACTGGTAAACAGCGTCATACATCCTGTTCTTGTCCAGTAATGAACAAACCTTTCTATAAAAGCAGAACTATACGTAAAGTGACCCTGTCACTACAATAAAGAATTAAAGTGGTTGTAAACCTCTGAAATGAAAAATGAACAAAGCATATCCCTCTATAGTGTGTACTTCATGATCCAAAGCACTGAGTATGATTTCTCTCTGCTCTTTCTCTTCTCTCTGCTATCTAGATGAGTCATTTCTGACAGTATATGCCAGCACCACACACAGAATCTGATGCCTAAAAGCCCCCTCCCCCAGTATACAGCAGGAAATTGGCAGCCCCAGTTATGCATTTTTCCCTATGAGACTGTGTAGAGGGGGTGTATCCCTTCCCTCCACTCAGGTCTCAGATTACACTCAGCTTGCTGAGCACCTCAGATCCCTGCCTTCTGGAGCTGAGAAAATAGCCTTTAATGTGTGACCTTTGAACAGCTGCAGAGCAGAGAGGGCTGCAGATAAACTGGTACAACCTATGTAGGAGGCTTTGTTTCATCTCTGTGTATCACCTGAAGACAGTCACTTCACTGGGTATATGTGAGGGTTTACAGACACTTTAAATCAGCAGCACCTTGAACAGAAGAACTTTCATTTATACAGCTACAAGTGGATATAAAAAGTCTACACGCCCCTGTTAAAATGTCAGGTTTCTGTGATGTAAAAAAATGAGACAAAGATAAATAATTTCAGAACTTTTTTTCACCTTTAATGTAATCTATAAACTGTACAACTCAAATGAAAAACAAATTGAAATCTTTGAGGGGGGGAAGTAAATATAAAAAAAACTAAAATAATACGGTTGCATAAGTGTGCACACCCTCTTATAACTGGGGATGTAGCTGTGTTCAGAATGAAGCAATCACATTCAAAATCATGTTTAATAGGAGTTAGTACACACCCGCCATCATTTAAAGTGCCTCTGATTAACCCCAAATAAAGTTCAGCTGTTCAAATAGGTCTTTCCTGACATTTTCTTAGTCGCATCCTACAGCAAAAGCCATGGTCCACAGAGAGCTTCCAAAGTATCAGAGGGATCTCATTGTTGAAAGGTATCAGTCAGGAGAAGGGTACAAAAAGAATTTCCAAGGCATTAGATATACCATGGAACACAGTGAAGACAGCCATCATCAAGTGGAGAAAATATGGCACAACAGTGACATCACCAACAGTGACATCACCAACAGTGACATCACCAAGAACTGGACGTCCCTCCAAAACTGATGAAAAGACGAGAAGAAAACTGGTCTGGGAGGCTACCAGGAGGCCTACAGTAACATGAAAGGAGCTGCAGGAATATCTGGCAAATCCTGGCTGTGTGGTCGATGTGACAACAATATTCTTCATATGTCTGGGCTATGGGGTAGAGTGGAAGACGGAAGCCTTTTCTTACGAAGAAAAACATCCAAGCCCGGCTAAATTTTGCAAAAACACATCTGGAGTCTCCCAAAAGCATGTGTGAAAATGTGTTCTGGTCTGATGAAACCAAGGGTGAACTATTTGGCAATAATTCCAAAAGATACATTTGGCCCAAAAACAACACTGCACATCACCGAAAGAACACCATACCCACCGTGAAGCATGGTGGTGGCAGCAACATGCTTTTCGGCTGTTTTTCTTCAGCTGGAACTGGGGCCTTAGTCAAGGTAGAGGGAATTATGAACAGTTCCAAATACCAGTTAATATTGGCACAAAACCTTCAGGCTTCTGCCAGAAAGCTGAACATGAAGAGCAACTTCATCTTTCAGCATGACAACGACCCAAAGCATCCATCCAAATCAACAAAGGAATGGCTTCACCAGAAGAAGATGAAAGTTCTGGAATGGCCCAGCCAGAGCCCAGACCTGAATTTGATGGAAAATTGAGGGTCAGTGGGAAGAATGCCCCTTACATTGAGGGTCAGTGGGAAGAATGCCCCTTACATTGGTGATCAGTGGGAAGAATGCTCCTTACATTGGTGATCAGTGGGAAGAATGCCCTTACATTGGTGATCAGTGGGAAGAATGCCCCTTACATTGGTGATCAGTGGGAAGAATGCTCCTTACATTGGTCAGGGGGAAGAATGCTCCTTACATTGGTGGTCAGTGGGAAGAATGCCCCTTAAATTGGTAGTCAGTGGGAAGAATGCCCTTACATTGGTGGTCAGTGGGAAGAATGCTCCTTACATTGGTGGTCAGGGGGGAGAATGCCCCCTATGTTGGTGGTCAGTAGGAGGAATACTTCTACATTTGTGGTCAGTGGGAAGATTTCTCCATACATTGGTTGGCGGTGGGACAAATTGCACTTACATTGTTGGTCATTGGGTAGGATGCTGCTTACATTGGTGGTCAGTGGATAGAATACACCTTACATTGATGGTGCTACTTCTGTTTTCATTGCCGCCTATCCTATCCCGATGCTTATCGGGGCAAAAGGAATAAGTGCACTTTGTCTGAAAAAAACACTTTTCAATTAAAGCTGAACACCAATCTGAATTTGTATTTCCTCTTTTAGAAAGCAACCATCTACTGTAACTGAATCTCCGCATGTCTTCCGTATAATAGCAGCAGAGCGTGAATAAACCAGTTTGAAAGAGGACATCCATGGGGCTTGATGAAGGATAAGGATGTTTTTATTGTCATTCCAGAACATGTTGTACCTGAAAGTGATTGAAATAAGGTACTCAGGTCCTGGCAGTAACAATAGCAAACTTCTAACTGGGCCTTACTCAAACTTTTGAACCCTTGGAGGAACTCTTAAAATAACTTTCAGGTCTCAGGGAATAATTACTATATCTACAGGTATTAGTATGTTAGTGTGGTGCTCAATGAGAAGAATGCCCCTTACATTAGTGATCAGTAGGAGAAATACTTCCTAAATTGGTGGTCAGTGGGAATAATGCTCCTTACATTGCTGGTCAGTAGGAGGAATACTTCTTACATTGGTGGTCAGTGGGAAGAAAGAATGTCAGTAGGAGGAATACTCCTTACATTGGTGGTCAGTGGGAAGAATGCTCCTTACATTGCTGGTCAGTAGGAGGAATACTTCTTACATTGGTGGTCAGTGGAAAGAATGCCCCTTACATTGGGGGTCAGTGGGAAGAATGCTCCTTACATTGCTGGTCAGTAGGAGGAATACTTCTTACATTGGTGGTCAGTGGGAAGAATGCCCCTTACATTGGTGGTCAGTGGGAAGAATGCCCCTTACATTGGTGGTCAGTGGGAAGAACGCCCCTTACATTGGGTGTCAGTGGGAAGAATGCTCCTTACATTGCTCGTCAGTAGGAGGAATACTTCTTACATTGGTGGTCAGTGGGAAGAATGCCCCTTACATTGGGGGTCAGTGGGAAGAATGCTCCTTACATTGCTGGTCAGTAGGAGGAATACTTCTTACATTGGTGGTCAGTGGGAAGAACGTCCCTTACATTGGTGGTCAAGAAGAAGAATTCTCCTTACATTGGTGGTCAATGGAAAGCATTTTCCTTACATTGGTGGACAATGGGAAGAATGTTTCTTATATTGGCAACCATTCGGGAAAATGCTTTTTACGTTGGAAGTCAGTGGGAAGATTGCTCCATACATTGGTGGTCAGTGTGAAGAATGCCCCTTATATTGGTGGTCACAGAGAAGAATGCCCCTTACATTGGTGGTCACAGAGAAGAATGCCCCTTACATTAGTGCTCAGTGGGAAGAATGTCCCCTACATTGGTGATCAGTGGGAAGAATGTCCCTTAAATTGGGGGTCAGTGGGAAGAATGTCCCTTACATTGGTGATCAGTGGGAAAATGTCCCCTACATTGGTAATCAGTGGGAAAAATGTCCCCTACATTGGTAATCAGTGGGAAGAATGCCCCTTACATTGGGGGTCAGTGGGAAGCATGTCTCTTACATTGGGGTCAGTGGGAAGAATGTCTCCCTACATTGGTAATCAATGGGAAAAATGTCCCCTACATTGGTGGTCAGTGGGAAGAATGTCCCCTACAATGGTGATCAGTGGGAAGAATGTCCCTTATATTGGTGATCAGTGGGAAGAATGTCCCTTACATTGGTGTTCAGTGGGAATAATGACCCCTACCTTGGTGTTCAGTGGGAAAAATGTCTCTTACATTGGTGATCAGTGGGAAAAATGTCCCTATATTGGTGGTCAGTGGGAAGAATGTCCATTACATTGGTGATCAGTGGGAAGAATGTCCCTTACATTGGGGATCAGTGGGAAGAATGTCCCTTACATTGGGGATCAGTGGGAAGAATGTCCCTTACATTGGGGGTCAATGGGAAGAATGTCCCTTACATTGGTGGTCAATGGGAAGAATGTCCCTTACATTGGTGGTCAATGGGAAGAATGTGCCCCTTACATTGGTGATCAGTGGGAAAAGTGCTCCTAAATTGGCGGTCAGTGGGAAGAATGCTTTAGAAGGGCCATCTGCAAGATCCAGGAAAAGACAACCGGCTCCAGTTGCATAGTGGATTACAGCAAAACAATGCTGAAATGGCTGGGCGTGTGAGTATGCTTAATGAGGATAATCCAGGCAAGAAGATAAGAGGAGATTCAAAAATAAATAAATTAGCAAGGGGGGGTTGAAGTTTCTTGTTAAAACTGGATGGGCTTTGTAAGGCCTGAACTAGATAAGTCTATTGAATCCTCCAATCCATGTTAAACACTGTCTAGTGGAGGTATCTTCACTGATGGCTAACGTAGTCTGACAGCCAGCACCCATGGCTGTCAAAATACCCCAAGAGTGTCTGTTCAGCCTGGCTCCTTCAAATTGCAAATTGAAGGATGTTGAGAGGGAAGGTGCCAACATGACCACCCATAGAGGGAATTTGGCAGATCATCAGAAACTGACCAGAATTTTCTCTGTGTATGATCAGCTTATGATAACAGCAAAAGGAGGAGATCAGCACTAAATGGACATTTGCCATTGTTGACTGAGGCCTGTATGACATACATTTCACAGCTTCCAATGCACACGTTCCATCTGATCCATGCTACTTTATTACATATATTTCTGTTTATTATGTTCATACCCTATGAACATGATTTTTTAATACATACAGTAATTATCTTTTTTATTTGCAGGAATTTGCCCTCTACTGTTGGCATTTGTAAATTCCTGTAAATATATATTATTTGTGCACTACTTGTGCCTTGTTGTTGCCTTTGAAACCTTGGAAGGAGGAAGAAAGAAATAAAGTCTCATCCACATGTCCTATCCATGATGCTAAACCCCAAGTCAGAAGGGACTAATATAAACTACAAGGGATGGACTAATGCGCAGAGTAGATTGACTTATTCTGAGTTCTAGTGCCACAACACAGTTCCTGCTGGTGGGAAGCTCCATTCTAGGCTGGTTGGACAACAGTTGGAGGATCTCACCATGTCTGCAGAACTTGTCTTCAAGTCCCCAGCACAAAGACAGATGCCGCATCATCCTCTGGGGCCCCTGAAACTGGACTTTGCTGCAACATTCATCTTGAGGTATCTCTAATAATACCTATTAACCTGGGTATATGTGCACAAGTCCACCAGGACTCCTATTGGGCCCTTTGAAAGTATGTACTGTTATTGATCTCCTCTTATATAAAGCTTGTATTATTTCTATAAGGGTGTACAACTGCTGTATATACTTATGGTTTATGTTATATGATGGCTGCAATAATTCTTCTGATCCCAATTACTTTGATTAGATTAGTGGTGAATTTCCCAGGAAGAGAATGAGTGGGGCAAGAAGGACCCAGGGAAGGCAAAAATATAAGCAGGTTAAATGTCACCTTTAACGGCCCATTCACACTAGCGGTTGAGAGGCGATAAAAGACAGTGGTTGAGCTACACTTTTACCTCCCCCAACCACTTCACCTTTAGCTGCAGAGGCAGCAGCTGGGGGTGTACACATGCCACGGCAGGAATTATAACCCACATTGCAGTTACAGAATTCTAGTGCGGGGCTCAAAGGGTTAAAGCAGGTGAGGAGGTGATACAACGCCTCTTCTGTAACTGTCAAATGCTTTCTGGAGAGCGATCTGAGCGTGGATCGGTGTTCAGAGACCAAAACAAGTGTGAAAGAACTCTAAATGTAAGTTTCAGCTTACCGCCACATACAAAGAGGGAACATTCAAACTCCATGCAGAACGGGGGCAATGATCCCAGAGCTCCAAGGCAGGCATACTAGTCGCGCAGCTACCATCTTGCTGGAGAGCGATCTGAGCGTGGATCGCTGTTCAGAGACCAAAGCAAGTGTGAAGGAACCCTAAATGTAAGTTTCAGCTTACCGCTACATACAAAGAGGGAACATTCAAACTCCATGCACATCGGGGGCAATGATCCAAGAACTCCAAGGCAGGCATACTAGTCGCACAGCTACCATCTTACTGGAGAGCGATCTGAGCGTGGATCGCTGTTTAGAGACCAAAGCAAGTGTGAAGGAACCCTAAATGTAAGTTTCAGCCAGGGGCGGATTGACAACTCATGGGGCCCCCGGGCAATAGGGGATCATGGGGCCCCTGTGTCCTTGTCCAAACTCAAAAAAGCCAATGAAAAAGGTACCAGGGGCATCTCATGGGGCCCCTACTTACCCCGGGCCCTCGGGCAGTGCCGAGTTTCCAAATGGTCAGTCCGCCCCTGGTTTCAGCTTACCTCCACATACAAAGAGGGAACATTCAAACTCCATGCAGATCGGGGGCAATGATCCCAGAACTCCAAGGCAGGCATACTAGTCACGCAGCTACCATTTGCTGTAGCCAGGGCATCCTCTGGCGATCAAAGCGTGGTTATTGGGCGTTAATGTCAGGGGGGGGTCTAGGTGATATCCCAGCTCTTGCAGTCTCTGGCCCTGGCCCTGGATGAGGGTCAAGAAGGAGACAGATGACGGGTGAAGAGGGACAGACGTGAAAAAAAAAGGAAATATCAGCAAGTCAAGAGATCCATTAAAATCAATAATGCATCTTCAGACTGCATTTCCTGTGAGCCCCAGCTGGAGACGTCCCCCGGGAGGCCCGGACATAAAAATAATCTCTGCCAAGAAAACAAATCCTACTGTAAGGCTTCTGGGAGAGCGGGCAGGGAGGGGGGGAAGCATTATCGGGTGGCAGCGCTGTGCTCTGAAGGACACCCAGGTGCAATCTTCAAGATGCTTATATAAAGCATTTCAAAGGCCATACCTTAAAGCTGCAAATCCAAAGCTACTCTCACAAAGTCTCTCCCCTGCGCTGCAAGGGGTTAAATGCTCAGTCTAGGGCACCTTACCATATCCCTCCTCCCGCTGGCTTCATCAGTTTCCTCATCAGAGTCTCACTTTACATCATGGTCCCCAACAGAGCCTCTCCTTAGATCAGGGTCCCCATCAGAGTTCCCCCTTACATCAGGGTCCCTATCAGAGTTCCCCCTTACATCAGGGTCCCCATCACAGTTTCACCTTATAGCAGGGTCCCTAGCAGAGTACCCCAATACATCAGGGTCCCCATCAGAGTTCCGCCTTACATCAGGGTCCCTATCAGAGTTCAACCTTACATTGGGGTCCCTATCAGAGTTCCCCCTTACATCAGGGTCCTTATCAGAGTTCCCCCTTACATCAGGGTCCCTATCAGGGTCCCTATCAGAGTCCCCCCTTACATCAGGGTCCCTATCAGAGTTCCCCCTTACATCAGGGTCCCTATCAGAGTCCCCCCTTACATCAGGGTCCCTATCAGAGTTCCGCCTTACATCAGGGTCCCTATCAGAGTTCCTCCTTACATCAGGGTTCCTATCAGAGTTCCCCCTTACATCAGGGTCCTTATCGGAGTTCTCCTTACATCATGGTCCCCATCACAGTGTCATCTTATAGCAGGGTCCCTATCAGAATACCCCAATAAATCAGGGCCCCCATTACTGTCCCCCCTTACATCAGGGTCCCTATCAGAGTTCCCCCTTACATCAGGGTCCCTATCAGGGTTCCTATCAGAGTTCCCCCTTACATCAGGGTCCTTATCAGAGTTCCCCCTTACATCAGGGTCCCTATCAGGGTCCCTATCAGAGTCCCCCCTTACATCAGGGTCCTTATCAGAGTTCCCCCTTACATGAGGGTCCCCATCAGAGTTCCGCCTTACATCAGGGTCTCTATCAGAGTTCCCCCTTATATCAGAATTCCTATCAGAGTCTCTCTTTCCAGTGGGATCCCTCTCAGAGTTACCCCATATATCAGTTTCCTCATCAGAGTTCCCCCATACATCAGAGTCCTTCCTTACATCAGGGTCCCTATGAGAGTTCAACCTTACATCAGGGTCCCCATTAGATTTCCTTCTTATATCAGGGTCCCCGTCAGAGTCTACTCTTAAATCAGGATCCCCATCAGAGTTACGCTTTACATCAGGGTCCTTATCAGAGTTCCCTCTTAAATCAAGGTCCCTTATCAAAGTTCCCTCTCACATCAGAATTCCTATCAGTCTCTTCTTACAATGGGATCCTTCTCAGAGTTCCCCCATATATCAGAGTCCCTCCTTCCATCAGGGTCACTATCAGAGTTCACCCTTACATCAGGGTCCCCATTAAATTTCCTTCTTACATGAGGGTCCCCATCAGAGTTCCGCCTTACATCAGGGTCCCTTATCAAAGTTCCCCCTCACATCAGTATCCCTATCAGAGTCTCTCCTTACAGTGGGATTTCTCTCAGAGTTCCTCCATATATCAGTTTCCTCATCAGAGTTCCCCCATAATTCAGATTCCCTCCTTACATCAGGGTCACTATCAGAGTTCAACCTTACATCAGGGTCCCCAATTCCTTCTTATAACAGGGTCCCTATCAGAGTACCCCTTACATCAGAGTCCCTATCAAAGTCTTCCCTTACAGTGGGGTCCCTCTCAGAGTTCTCCCATATATCAATTTTCACATCAGAGCTCCCTCATACATCACAGTCCCCCCTTACATCAGGGTCCCCAACAAAGCCTCTCTTTACATCAGTGTCCCTATCGGAGTTCCCTTATACATCAGGTTCCCCATCAGAATCTTCTTTTATATTAGGGTCCTCAAAATAATTTCTCCTTACATCAGTTTCCCCATCAGAGCTCCCCCTTACATCAGGGTCACCATCAGAGTCTAGTGTCTGGGAGCGGGGGGTGGATCCAGGATTACCTGGGCTCAGAGGAAGTGGGCTGAATTATGCTGATCATCAGACTAAGGGCATCTAGTAACAGAAAAAAGTACTACAGGGGAATCTCTGGATTGAAGCTGAATGTTGCGGCAAAAGCCGGTTTGGATGCTTTATTTTTGTAACTATTTATCTTGATATTTTTAGAGTTCTGCTTTAGAAAGGGTAAGCAAA